TTCGGGTTACAAATTTAAGACTCGTCACGCAAGTGATCATCTGGCCACGACCGGTTTGCGAAACTGATTAGAAATCCATTGGATGAGTTTAGGTGGCCTAATAGACCCATATGTTTATTAATAAGGTTAATGACCCTAGTATTAATTAATTGTTAAGAGAAAGCTCATTAGACCCAATGAATTTAATGAAACCCTAATTGTCTTTATAATTTAAGGTTTAAGTGAAAAAATAAGATTTTTCGAACTCTCTCTCCCTTTCTCTCGCGGTCGTTGTCCTCTCTCTCTCTCCTAAGATTATCTTGGTTTTCATTCTCGCCCTCCAGATCGTGCTCTAGTAGACATAAGCCTGTGAATGTCGACTAGCTATAGAAAACATTAGATTTCAGCATTTGTGACATGTTTCTGGATCGAAACAAGTTGGTAAATCGATACATTTATCATTATATGCAAGATCTATTGATTGGATTTCATTTTATATATTACGTTGTGTAAAACCAAAGATTGGAACCTTATAGAAACTATTATGAACGCATGTTTAGGGATCTCCAAAACTCAACACATTTAACAGTGAAAATGAAATCAACAGTGAAAACGAAATCGACCGAAAACAAACCGAAGCCACTTACCTTGCTTTATCGATTCTGAACATTCTGGGTTGAGTTTCTTACGGTGGTGAAACCATGACTGTTTGAGAAATCTGATGGCACTATTCGGAGTTTGTAGAGACTCCATTCTCGGTTCAACGCGGTTCACCGACGTCGCGTTCTCTCTTTTTCTCTCCCACACTCTGTCAGTTTCTGTTTTGCCTCATCCCTAAGTGAAACGAATGCGTGTTTTATCGATAGACACTATTGGGGTCAAATAAGACTGTTGCTGACAACAGTACGAAGTTGGAGGCTAAATGGGGATTTTTCGGTGATTGCAGCGTCTGAAACACTTGTTGTCGACGTCCACGATCGCACCATCGTGATGGACGATCGGTCGATCGTATTTGATTCACGATCGTGCACTGTACTATTAGTGATAGGTCGATCGTGTACCACGTCACGATCGCGCCATCGCTTTCCACGCAATCAATCGATCATGACCGGCTTCACAGTCGCGCCATCACTTCTGGCGATAGATCGATCGCGGTTTTTTGCAAATTTTCGGTCTTGTTTATCATCAATTCAATCCGTTTTATCTTTGAAAATCAATTAAATAATTGGGTTGGATTAGTTTATCCGTCCAATTTGACGTCTCTTAACAATTACGCATTTAATGTAGAAAGTTAAAAAAAAAAGTGTAAAATTATCTGAATATATATTCAGAGAGTATTAATTCCACTTGAAAGATAATCAATTTATCTCTCTGGATGATCAAAAGGAAGAACATGTGCATTTCTAAATCTTTCCCTCATTTTGCAATCCGTTGATCTCTTCAATACGTAACCAGATATCAAATATAGATAATTAGAGTTCTGTTCTGGTTACCTTATTTTTGTTAGATTTTTTAATTCTATAAATTTGTATTTTTTTTTCATTTTTTATTGTTTTAGTTCGAATTTAGTTTAAATTTGTTAATAGCTATTTTTTTATGTTTTTATTAATTTAAATTTTTTAAAAATATTTTCAATAAATTTCAAATCAAAATCTATTTAAATTAAAGAGAAAATGACATATAATAGTGAAAAGTCTCAAATAAATATAAAAACTTTAAAATTTCTAAGAGATATTTAAAATTAGTGATTTTTGAGAATTATTTAAGATATTTAAAATTCGTGTATTTTACAAAAAAAAATAATAAAATATATTGCAACATGTTGTACTTACATAGTAAATATTAAAAGTGGATATATAAAATTAAAGTAAACAAAATAGTATAAACCTAAGTTTATTAATATACGAATTTATGAAAAAATCTTAGATAAATACACAAATCTAAACATAAAAACACTACGCTTGAACCACAAAAGAATAAATAAATGAAATTAATCATTTCAATGTTCTGTTTTCTTAAATAAAATATTTGGACTGGCAATAATAATCTCCTAAATCAAACGCACGCGTAAATTGCACGGCCAAGAAACAAAAAAGAAAAAGAAAAGAAAAACACATGGAACGACGTCGTAGTGAAAGTGAGAGACTCCACGTGGCGCACTTTGCCGGTCAGAGTCGGCGGCTTCGAGAAAAAGATAGCGTCAGAGAGAGAAGCCATTTGCGAAGGGTATAATTACCATATTAACCTTAGGGAGAGGAACCATTTGCATACTGTATAATTACCATAATAACCTCACAGAGAAAACCATTTGCGTACCATATTAACCTCTGTGTGGGGGTTTCCAAACCCAACAACATGGGTTTTATTTGCGTGGTCACGAGGGCGAAGCCAAAGTTTTTTTAAATTAAAAAAAATAAAATAGCTCGTCTTTTTTTTAAATTAATAAAAAAGAGTTTCATATTCCTCACAATTTCCAACATAGATTATTTTTTTGTTACTCTTTCCATTTTCGTAGAACGGAAAACAAATAAAAGAAGGTTCAATAATAATGTTCGAAAGTTTATTGGTTTATTCGAAAAAAATATAATTAATGTTTTGGATTATTCGATAAATATCTTGTCAAATTTCAATTGTAGCCAAAGATATGGTGTCTTAATGTTTTCTTGTCACTAATGAAGTGCACTATTGATATTACAGGCTTCGGTACTATCTCGCGTACTTGAGTTATAATAAAGATAAGAAACTTTTGATGTGACAAAATCAATTCTATACGAAAATCCGTAAAAAAAAAAAAGAATCTATATTTCTGAAATAACTTTTTTTAATCATAAACTTATAATGTAAGGGTTTTATGATATTTTAATTTATTTTGGTAACCGAAATATTTATTAAACTTCCATCCAACTAATTTCCTAAATCTAGAGTAAACTTTTAATCACACAAATAAATCGTGTCCACTTCTATAGAATTAAACGGATTACTCTTTTTGATCACGAGATCATTTAAAAAAATGAAAAAAGTTTAATTTTATTCTATATTTTAAAAATATTGATACAAAAGAAAATATAATTTATTCTAAAAATATTCTTTTACCAACTAGTTCTTAGTAAAAAGAATGCTGATTATGTAATTTATTAAAAAAATGTTGATTACCAAATTTGCCCATCAGCCCTCCGAGTATTCCTCTTATTTAGTATTCGCCACCTTTTCTTTTTGCTGTCCACTGAAAAAACGGAAAGTTTTGCAATAAAAAACCACCGAATAATATCACACAACAAAAGCATCTTTAATCAATAATCATAAACTTATTTATTTATATTTTTATGAATTTAATCCGACAATTATTGCCACGCATTGGTTTCAACGTATTAATTAAATTTCAGTCACCAACTAAGTGAGACATATGTATATCCTAAAACCTATAAATTAGATTCCATCACTACTTATACACACAATTTTTTGTTTATATTTTTTTTTATTGCTTATAATTATAATTCGAAGTCTACGTTTCTGATTTTTATCTTATAATTTGAATATCTCAAAATAATTATTTTGTGTTGTGGAACCATTCAGTTACCATAATTTTGTGTATGAATTGAATATAATTTATAAATACACGGACAATTATTAAAAATAGTCTTCATTTTTTAAAATATAATTATACAAAATATAGTTAAACAGGTAGTTTCTATAAAAAAAAAGTCTTAAAAGTTACATTTTTTCAAAATAAATTTATTTAAAAAATTATAATTTATAAAATTTTCCTTGATATCGAAAATTTAATTTTCTTAAAAAAAACATGAATTTATTAGTAATCATCCCTAATGTTAAACATGCCATGGTAATTATAATTCGTGTAACCCATACAGATTATCAATCAACCTTCAAGAGATTGATTATTTTACATTTTTGCATTTTGTGTAGGGTTACCAACTCGCACAAATCGACATGGAATATTTTATTTTATTTATCTCTATATTACTATATCGTATTATATTAATTGATTTTTTGTATATTATAGTACAATTGATATATGATACTTTTCCTTTATCTAAAAAACTTAAATAAAAAAATCCGTAAATAAAAGTTTTAGGAACACGGCATGATTATTTTAAAATTTCGCTTTATACGTGATTGAATCCATCATTGTTAGTTCGCCTTAATAATAATAATAATAATAATAATAATAATAATAATAATAATAATAATAATAATAATAATAATAATAATAATAATAATAATAATAATAATAATAATAATAATAATAATAATAATAATAATAATAATGTGTAAATTAGAAAGAAAAAAACATACACCATGTATGTGACTGTCCGCTGTAGTGTCATCAACACGTAAGATGCCAATCTAGAACCAAATAATAATAATAATAATAATAATAATAATAATAATAATAATAATAATAATAATAATAATAATAATAATAATAATAATAATAATAATAATAATAATAATAATAATAATAATAATAATAATAATAATAATAATAATAATAATAATAATAATAATAATAATAATAATAATAATAATAATAATGTGTAAATTAGAAAGAAAAAAACATACACCATGTATGTGACTGTCCGCTGTAGTGTCATCAACACGTAAGATGCCAATCTAGAACCACATATAATCACGAAAGTACCCTCCGTAATTACGGAAGGTCAAGAGGGTATTTCCGTAAAATGCTGAACCAAAAAAGTAAGAGAAACTAGGATGATAAGAGTCGATACGCGTCTCTATGAGGCCCATATTCCATCGCCATTACCGACCTCTCAATCCCTTCAAAATCCCCATCTCTCCTCTCTCTCCCCCCTCCCAGACCCAACCTCTACGATTTTCTCTCTCTAGGAAAACGAAAAGAGGAGATCGTCTCCCTCTCTCTCCGATCTCTCTTCAATTTGTTTGAATTCGCTCGTGAATCTCTGTCGCCGCTGTAGATCGTTAACATGGCGCAGAGGACGGAGAATGAGGAGACGGAGTTCAAGGTACCGGAAACCTTGACGCTTTGTGTCAACAACTGCGGCGTTACCGGAAATCCGGCGAACAACAACATGTGCCAGAAATGTTTCAACGCAACCACTGCCACGTCATCTTCTTCCTCCGCCGCCGCCTCCGCCTCCGCCTCGTCCCTTCCCTCCGCTGCTGCTACATCTGCCAGCAACGGTGTCAAGGATGGAGCCTTCGGTCTCGGAGTTGGAGGTCCGATCTCGAAAAAATCTTTGAGATCTAGCGCTATCCGGTCGTCGGATCGATCAGGCCCGTATCTGGCGAAGGTGACGATAATCCGAAATCGGGAGAGCGACGGGACAGAGGAGAAGAAGATCGTGAATCGGTGTTCTGGTTGCCGGAGGAAGGTCGGGTTGACCGGATTCCGATGCCGGTGCGGCGAGCTTTTCTGCGCGGAACATCGGTACTCTGACCGCCACGACTGCAGCTACGACTACAAGGCCGCCGGTCGGGAGGCGATCGCCCGAGAAAATCCGGTGGTCAAGCCGGCGAAGATCGTCAAGGTTTAAATTATTCCACCTGGAAAAAAAAAACCTCAAACCTCAAACATCGAATTTCTTTTAAGATCAAGCTCGATCTAAAGATCTTTCAGCGGGAAATCGTCAGGGAGTTGCGGGAAGACATCGATTTCGTTGATGTTGTAAAGAAGATCAGAAGGATTTTCTGATTCTTCTTCTGTCCGATCGAATCTGGGCCTCTTTCTTTCCTTTTTCTTTTTTTTTTTTAATTTTACTAAATTTAAATTAGCTTCTTGATTGAGAAATCAAAAGATTATAATTGTGGCTTAAGGATTTGATGATTTGCGTGAGCATTTGATGATTTGCCTCTTTCCCCCATTCCATTTTTCGATCGCAATAGCTGATTCGTTGATTGATTAAGAAATGGTCTCAAATGGCATGCGCGTGTGGATGGGGTCGAGATTGGAGGGCAATACGGTAATTTCAAATAGACGTGTATGGAAAGCACAGTAACAACAATTTACAATTATAAAGGTGTTGTGGTGTGGGTCTCGCCGATAACTTATCACGGGAATCTGTAATTATTGGGGGCTTTCAATCAATTTCTCATGAGAATTTCAGCTTTCTTCTTTACAGATACGAGCATAATCCAGTCATGAGGGGACACGTGGACAATAAATAAAATAAGTGCGATAAATTAAGAAATTAAAGATGGAAATGGTTGCGGAGTGGTAATCGTAGTCGTGGATGGTTGGGTTTTTGATTCCGAAGGAGGAGACATATGCGTAAAGTATTTGGTTACGTCGTATTCCGATTTATAATTAATTAATATATTTGCTTGAAAGAAAGAGTAATGACGTGGTGAGATATCGATTGACGTAGAGCTTGATCCAACGGTCATGGTTGCGCGAGTGTTGATGTGTAATTTTCCAACTTTCAATTGCAAAACCCAATGTATTTTTGCTGTCATTCGTCACTCTAAAATACATTACAATAATTTTTTTTTATTTTTCCAAATCCACTGAAAAAATCTGTAGTTTTAATTGCTTAATTAAGGACGATTTTCAATATACATATGAGAATAATAATTATAATTTAAAGAACTACTATGCCAAAATTGAAAAATAATTCCAATCCATGTTTGAGTTTCTAGTAAGATTCGATAAATTTTGGTCTCATAAAAAAATTAAAAAATAATATCCAACTATTTATTTTCTCTTAATCGGCCAATTTTTTCACACAGTAAATTGGTAACGCGGTACACTACGTAAAAAAAATGACGTCTTTTTATTTATATTAAAATAGATTTCTTTTTATTATTTGGGAACGTAGGAGAACAACAAATGGAATAGCTAACAAATAATCACGTTTCCTGAGATCTTCTTTAACCTAAAGGACAAAACATTGCAGGTATAAACGTAAACATGATATTTCTAATTTCAGTGTATTTTTGTATTCTAATTTTTTAAAAGTTTTAGAAGATATATCTATTTGGTTTTATTTCAATTATTGTGTTCATTCTATTTTCTATTCTATTCAGAATTAATTTTTTCATTATTAAAAAAATTAATATTTGAAAATAATTTTATTTATCTTTATTTGAAATTAAATTTGAATCAAATTCACTTAATTTAATTTAATAAAGATTGTATAACATTAATTTTAAAATCAATTTAAATTCTGATATAATTATATGTTATTCTAGTTAAACCGAAATGTCAATTTCTAATGAACTATTTCCAAATTTAGAAAAGATGGTATTCTTTAACCTAATCGAAATATGGTAACATGTTATTTGATACGATGATCTGATTTTTTTTTTTTAAAAAAAAAACTGCGGATAATATAGAAAAATGATTTTAAATTACTAACATTTGACTTGGCAATAAAACATAGTATATACAATAAAAGCAAAAACGAATATTAGTATTGAACATAAAAATATGAGAAGTTGAAGATCCAATTACAAAATATAAACAGAAATAAAATAACTAAATATCTGAATTAAAAAAAATATATATTATGTCAAAGACCGGCTGTGGGACTTTGGGTGTTGCATCCTTTGGAGAACATGAAGAGCCACAAAAAGAGCAGAGAGCAAACTGCAAAAGCATCGATGGCTACATTCTCACACAAGCCATTAAATGCATTTAATTTATCACTTCTTCACAAATAAAAAAATAGTTTTTTTTTTGTTGATGTGTAATTTTATATATCACACATACATGCGTCTATTATCTATTTTGCATGGAAATTCACGAGCCTTGCTTCAAACGGCGTTGTTGCAGATTTTGGATTGTGCATAATCGAATCCGGTGGCGGACTTGGAAAAATAATTGATTCTAACATGTGATATACATAATTTTTTCACGGGGACATTTATAAAATTTGGTAAATTTTATGAAAAAACTATTCATATCAAATTGGGTCCGACCATGGTCGAATCTTTAGATTAATACAATTACAATCACCATCACGTTTCCTTTTAATGATTTAATTTGATTCATGAAAAAAAAAAACAATAGTACTGTTGTGTGTTTATTACGAATGAATCCAAACTAATAGATTCAATTTTTCCACATCGCCATTCATAATTCGATAATAAAATTTTATGCATGCAAGTTCGTTAGTGTATATGTCACACGACACAGAGCCACTGAGAAGCCCATGCTCTGAACAGATTGGTTTTGTAAAAGTAGAGGTGTCAAACGGCCGACTCGAATCCGCATTTGGTCCGAGAGTTTCGGGTTCAAGCTCGGGCCGACCTAAATTTTTCGGATCTATAAAACCAAGCCCAAAACCCAACCCTATAAAGCTCGAATTCTGACTCGAGTCCGGACCGGACCAGCCCAGGTGTTCAACACCTTCATTGTGCATTTTTTATATTTTTTGCATTTAAACCCTGAATTTCTTCAGACCTACAAATTCAGGTCCGAATCCCGAAGACCCCTGTAAAAGCGAGAGGAACGTGCTCAAGAATTGACGACAGAAAAAGAAATTATCTGAAGACAGGATGCTGATCTCGTGAGAAAACAGACACGAGAGTCATTGATGTTCATCGCCAAGACAAAAGTTAGAAACTTGAAACACTGAACCAGTTTTGTTCCTTCCACGTCATAAAATCCCATCAAATATGGTGAAAAGAAAGAGAGGCCAACATAAAACACTGGCTAGCTTGAGAAACTAGTTCAAAGAGACATAAAAATATCTACCAGGAAATCAAGGAGGAAGAACTCAGGACAAGCTTACAGAGGTCATGGAGATGGAGATGGAGATGGAGATGGAGATGGAGAAGAAGATAGACGATGGTTCTTAGACGGCAGCATCGGGTTGGACAAACGGGTTAGCGATTTCTTCCGTTCCATCAGTTGGCGAGACGAGCATCACTGCCGTTCCTCGGCAAACCTACAAAACATGGCATGTTTTCGAGGGTTTAACTTTTCTAGCGCGTAATAAACCTGATATACGAATGAATGCAGACTTTTGAGGATGTTATAGGAAAACAAAAATCACAATTTCAACAGGTCATGATAGGATAAATGTGGAATGAAAAAGGGATGACGGCAGATCATACAATTAACCCGAGGCGTCTGGTTTGGTCAACTGTCTTCAAAGGATCATCCGGGTCTGCCAAAAAACAATAACAAACGAGTAAAAACCCGATTATTTACCGGGCAAATCTACTCACCTTTATGATACTAAACTTTCCCCAAAAATAACAATGAAGGCATTTTCATGGAAATCACCAAGACGACTCTCTTGTTTTTAAAACAGACACAAGATACCACAATCAAGGTCTCTCTTTCATAAAATATGATCTAGCAATCATAAAAATTAAATTTTATAGTCATCAGATCAGATTCAGACAACTTCCTTCATAACGAGGTCAACCCAGATAAGCGATACAAATACATACACCGCAGACATGAATGCAGACGGTTCTAGACCAAAGACAAAGTACTGTAATGTACTCATTAGAGTAGTGCAGTTCAACTTGGATCCTAAATGTATTCATCTCACATTGTCGAAGACTCACAAGGGATAATGGGAAAAGGTTGGAAAAACAGAACAACCTAACAGGAATTGCAAGCTATACATAACATAAGTTACTGTCTCGACATAGAGGAACAAAACAGATACCTCGAAGAAACTCAACTGCTTCATCCAGGACGAGATTCAGCAACTGATCATAACCCTTAAGAGTCCCTATCACTGCATTTGCAACAAGCAACAATGAGCTTAACCCTATCAGTTTTATAGTTAAGCTCTCCAAAAAGAGCGAGGGGTCGAGTCTTCAAGTTTCGGAAAATTTTTTTAAAAAAAAACTTCTTTACGTAAATCACAAAACCGAGTACCTTGTCTACCGCCTGTCAGCTTAACTTGTACACCCTTGTCGACAAACTTTGCCAAATCCAACACTGTCTCTTTTCTTCCTGACTGAGAATCAACCAAAACAATCCCACATTAGAGGAGAATCCAACACCGCACAGAGCTTGTTTATTTCATCGAAAAGATTCGTCTCAAAAGTCAACAGTGGGATTGCATATCAATTTTGTGAAAATTACCATGTTAGAGCAAACTGCAGTGCTGAAAACCCGGAAAACCTTAAGATCTGCATAGATGGAAATTAGATCGATTCAGACAAGAAATAAACATGATTTCTGATGTGAAAACACAGAAAGGCGATCAAACAAGACCATCGCTTACCCTAGAACTCGGTAGCGAAGAGGAGGCACATTATTTTTCCTTCTGTTTTCCCAACTGATGAAAATAGATTCTAACAAACATTTGAAACCCAAATTCCCATCTCTATAATTCAATAAAAAAACGGAACTTGCTTCGTCTCTCCACTAATCCAAACACTTCCTTCCTGGACACCTAATGAAAAGCCCTAATTCTCCCGACAACATTCAACACTACAACTCACGAGAATTCACAACATGTCTCACCGAAGCTCTCGGTGTGGCATTCTGTCGAGAAAGTTATGACACAAAAGCCATGGTCTTGGGAACAAATATATCAATCCCACTGCCCTCGTGCTTTGAACTTAATTGAAGAACAAATAAGCTAAAACCCATGTTATGATAATTTTGTGATTGCATATCAAATCTGAATAACCAATAAGAAATCTAGCCCTAATGCATGATCCAAGAAACCCTTAGGATCGATTAAGCAAATTTCAATCAATAACTTCAGAAAAGCTTAAACCTTCGTGATTAAACTAATCCAGAACCAACCCAAATCGAAACCCAGAAACCGATGAAGAAATCATGAGAGAAAAATAAAGGACGAGACAAGACACTGATGATCTAAAGACTTGCCTGAAAATTGCGAGTTCCGGTGACAGCGACGAAAGGCGTGTCTGATCTAAATTAGGGTTTCTCGCGAGGAACAAAACAGGAATCTGAGACCGGATAGCGAGATTGGGAAACGACGGCGAGCGAAGATTCCTGTGAGTTCGACGAGCAGAGGAGGAGGAGAGGGGAGAGGGAAGGAACCGAGAACGGAGACCCGACCGAACTGTACGAGATGAGATTAGGTTTTATGGCGTAGGTTGAGAATCCTTTGAGATTTTAGAAATAATACTTCTTTCAACTTCGGAGAAATAATTGTTAAATTTGGTATTCTAACTGTGTAGTAATTATCATATACCACCGTTCATTTTAATATTTTCAAAATTCGTTTTTCTATTTAAATTATTTTTTATCTTGGATTTACGTATGCCTCCTCATCTTACACCAATAGAAATCTAATAATTGTCTTTTAAAAAAATATAATATATAATTGAAAGGTTTTAATTAATTAATTGAAAACACGGTTTTTTTTATAAATTTAAATTTTTTGTTTATCCCTGATAAATTCTCTTTTTATCTTTGATTTTTTTTCTTTTTTATTTCTGAAATATATCAAATGAACTGGTAACTCACCGAACCAGTCAGCCATCTGCAGGTTGAATATTTTTTTTTCTAAATTTATTTTACCCCAAAACTTAATTCGAAGCGGTTGTAAGTAGCGATCGGCGTTTCGAAATTCATTTTGAAATTTTAGCGGTTCGGTTCGAGAACGATTTATTCGTATTCTAAAATTTGTACCAAATTAGTACTATATAATATTTGTTTCGATTTGATTCCGGCTTGTTCGATTCAGTTTTTGTTAAAAAAATTTATATTTTTTAATGAAAATTTCGGTTTTTTGAAAATTTTATAAAGTCCGGTTTGATCTTGGAAAATTCATTTTTATAAAAAATATATCGTTAATAAATTTTGAATGATACGGTTTAAAAAATACCAAAAAATTTAGTTTGGTACAGTTCGTTCTTTGGAACCGAATCGAAACGTATTAATTTATCATGGAAAAAAATGTATAATAATTAATTATTAGCTTTATTATATTTGAAGAATTATAAATCATAACATTTACATCGAGCCTAATATTAAAAAAACTTAACACAGCAGAGTTTTCTAATATATTGAAAAACCGATCAACTTCGTATGACCAAAGACAACCCTTACAAATATGACAACTTTGATCACTGCATTCGCCGTATCTATATTACTTACCAAAGATTCTTCTGTCCGGCCGTCGCATTTGCATATACCATGGTTATATGATATTTGAATTTGCTCGATCAACGATTTATCGGTCCACATATCATATATATGGCTTTTAATCTTCTCCCGACACTCTTCCAGATTTTACCCATGAAGATAAAATCCCGAAACCCTTTTGCTTCGTTTCACTTCCAGAGCAAACCATTGTCATACCGTGAATATACGTCGTTTCTCTGTGTCTTTTCGCCGCGGCTCTAACTAAATACTCGAATCCTTCATTTCTATAGCGGTTCTTAACGAAATATTTTACGATTCCTTTGCGAAACAAGGCCTCGAGATTGCCATTGTTCCTCCAGTTTTTTTTTATTCATCCGGAAGTTCACCGGACCTTTGATCCGACTACATCTCTCAGAAAACCGGGGAAGTTTAGGTGAATGCCCCTCTCCATGCTTGGGTTTGAATTCAGGGTGAGAGTATGCTTTGCATATTCTCTCAACATTAGGCCACCCAAGCTTGGGTCAATTGTTCCTACAGTTCTTGAGAAAACTCGATACTTTTGGATTTTTATACCACGAAATCAGCGGGACCTTGTCGATTGACACGTTACAAAAGACACAGGCATCGTTAGAAAGATTCTGTAATGATTTCGAGACGAGTTTGAGGTTGCAAATATCGGTGAGGGAGGAAACAGCAACGCGACTTATGATTTACGTGGTGGCGAGCGAGATCATCCGGAAGGTTATTGAATGGAATCATTCGTTTATCGCCTTTGCGAACTTTTTTTTTGAAGAAGAGCACGAAGAAACCATGGTCGTTGATGATGCGAAGGAACAAAGGAGAACAAGGAGAACTGATTAATACAAAAAACTAATAAAAACGTCATATAAATTATAATCTCTAATAATAGGACTGCAAAATCTAAATGGCGGATTAAAAAGAAAAAAGAAAAATAAACAAATAAGAGAGGACAGCAAACTGGTATTTCCCCCAAGATTACCTGCAACGTTGCTTCATACAAATCCCGAAGAATGTGTATAATTATTCATCGATGCTATATTTTTTTAATATTTATCTCTAAGCTAATTTAAAATGAAACAGAAAAAAAAATCAAAATCTCAAATGCGATCCTCTTATATATAGAGAGATAATACATAAGAAAGTTTTTAGTTCTTTTGTTCCCTCAATTTTTTTTGGATAATCGGGTCTTGAACCAAAATTCAGACTAAACTCAAACCAAGATCAAAGCATATGTTTAGAATTATACTCATTTTCCCAATTTTGGGCTTTGTTCCCTTAATTTGCATTGAATTTCACTGGTTATTTCGGTTGTTTCATCGATTTCTATCGATCGTTTGTTTGATTCCATCCAAAGTTTGTAATTCTTGAAGAATGGCGGAGAATCTTAGTCTTCGACTTCATTGGATTAACTTGCTGATCAAATAGCGAATACTGTCTGAATCTTGTATCTGGTCATCTTTGTGGATCGATGAATTTCCATGTTTGGCTTGAAGGTCGCAAGAAGAGGCCTCAAGTTCTGATTGGTGTTTAGCTAAGCCAGATTCTGATGGAGCAGAATCAGCAGTCGGTTGAACACAAGGCGACAGCGGCGATGATACAACCGGCAACGCAGGGAGCTGAGCATCATCATAGAGATCATCAAAGAATGGGTACGAAACCTGTTGGTCAGGGAAAGGGGAGACCGAGATAGGATCAGACTCAGAAAATGGGAAACGATCTTCGCAGAACACAACATCATGGGAGACAAGAAATTTCTTCATCTCTAAGTTATAGACCCGCCAACCTTTTTTCCGGAAGGATATCCAACAAAAATGCATCGAGAACTCCGCGAGGCAAACTTATCGCCATTGCGATTCTAGTGGTGTGCATAACACAAGTTCCCCAAAGATTCGTAAATGTTCGTATTTCGGGTGCTGTCCATGAATGATCTCATACGGCGTTTTACCATCAAGATGCATAAACGGAGTAGGATTAATCAAATATCCTGCTGTAAAAACGTTTTCGCCCCAAAAATTCATAGGAAGTTGAGCCTAAAATAATAATGCTCGGGCAACATTGAGAATATGCCGATGTTTACGCTCTACTCGGTCGTTCTGTTGAGGTGTACCAACACAAGATGTCTCATGAACGATAATCTTGTCAGAAAAATAGTCTCCCGAACACATAAACTCAGACCCATTGTTAGACCGAACTCGCTTCACTGAGGTGTCAAATTGACGTTCAACCAATGCGAGAAAATAATGTCGGAGCTTCATGGCGGCCTCATGTTTAGCATTCAACAAATAAATCCAAGTACCACGAGAGTAATCATCCACAATAGTCAGAAAATACTTGGCACCAGAAGAAGGAGTATGGTAAGATCCCCACAAATCACAATGGATTAATGCAAAAATCTTCATAGTTTTATTTCTACTCAAAGGAAATGGAGCTCGAGTTTGTTTTGCACGAAAACACACATCGCAATGTTTATTCTCATAATAGTTGTCACTAGATAAAGTGAAACTAGAAATCTTCGAAAGAACTTTAAACGAGGGATATTGTCCCAACCGCTTGTACCACATATCAAACAACTGATCATCTTTTGCTCGAGTTGCCGCAAAACCTATTGCATATCCTTTGTGTTGAGATATATCGGATCTTGAAGAATATTACGAGATATATCGTATAATGAAGATCTTATCAAATCCGGAAAATATATATTTAGAAATATTTATTATTATGTCTACTTTACTTATTTAATGTAAGACTCTCATCTATTTATATGCTATTTTGATTATCAATAAAAACGTTATTTCGTAAATTTCTACATGGTATCAGAGCCTGGTTTTTTTTCTAATTTGTTGTTCTTTTCATAAAAATGATGGTTGATAATGAGGGTGAAGATAAAGATGATGATATACCGATCCAGTGGTAATATCATTTCGAGTATTTTTTTTTAAGAATACTTCTTTTTTTTAAATTTAAAAATCTTATCAAACTTTTAATTCGTACTAAAAAGTCTTTGGCAAAATAACATATTTTTTTTAACTTTTTAATTCTATCAACCACCCCCAATTCTTTATAAAAACAATTGCATTCAGCCAACAGTTGAGAGATCGAGATCAAGTTTGCATGAAGTCTTGGAACAAACAAGAGTTGGACATTCGGAGATGAGTACCCAGCTGAAGAGACCCTGACTGAATCGGGAGTACCGTATGTCCATCAGGTAAAATGACAGAACACAGTAGGATAGGAGAAACATCACGCAACGAGGAAATTCCGTCTGTCATATGCTGAGAGCATCCCGTATCAAGAATCCAAGGTTTATCAGAAGACTTACCAGAGAGAGAGTCTCGGTGTCGGTTCTGTTGGCATTCAACATTGCGACCAAAGTCTTCCACTGCTCTTCAGAGATCCTGCTGATCATTTGCTTGTCAGTAGCAGAAACAGAGTAATCGAGGGGATGAGCGAAGACCTGGGTTGCATTGGCTCGAGCAGAGTTTCAGTTACGATCAGTCTGGGTCGAATTTCCTCTGCCCCTTTCCTGCACCAGATTGATTACGTAGTCAATCACCCCACCATTTCGGAAATCCAAGGATTCGGAAACACCCAACAGCGTTATGGCTAGCACGACCACAGTTCATGCATTGCAGTAAATTTTCCTTTTCTTCTGGTTTGGTCCGAGGCTTTGAAGCTGTTCGAATCGAGAAGGCTGCAACGTCTGGACGATCAACATGAACATGTTTAGTATCCTCATCTTGGATCACTATGGTATATGCCTCCTCAAGGGTTGGAAGAGGTTGCTGAGAAAGAAGGTTCAATTTCACGAGCTATATTTCGTTTCATCCAAACCGTGAAGAAACTCATAAAGATGATCTTCATTTCGTTCTCTTTCAAGCGTGGCAGCAATGTCGCAAGTGCAAATGGTTGCACTTACAAACTTTGAGACCTGAAACTCACCATATGATCTCGCAACTTTGTTAATTTTCCGAAATAAGTTTCGAAAGTCATGCCAACTTGACGACAGTTAGCTAAATCACTTCGGATTTTGAGAAGACGCGGCGCATTTGTCTTTCCAAATCGTCTCTTGAGGTAATCTCACAGATCTTGAGCATACTCTCGATGAACAACATCCGAGCGGAGATGAGGTTCAAGTGTGTTCTTGATCCAAGACACGATTAGGATGTTATTGGTGTCCTAATCCTCGCAGTCCGGTGAGGTCGCTACTGGTGGAGGAATAAAGCCATCGACGAAACCAAATATCTTTCGAGATTTCAGCGCTTGACGAACGTTGATGGACCATTCATCGTAGTTTTCTCCACACAGAAGTGGCTGCAATAGAACAAGACCAGGATTATCACTCGGTGTCAAGTCATAAGGTGAGATTGTCCTTCGGGGATCGCAACAAGATTGGTAGTTTGGGCCGTCGGAGGCATTATCGAGGTCGAGGTGTTCATTTCGGGGTTCGAATTCGAAGCACTGGTAGCGCCAGTAGTCATCAAATTTTCTAAATCAGAGTTTGTAGAGTGTTGGGCTCTAATACCATGTCACGTATCAAGACTGATATTCACACAAGAGAGAAGCCAAAAACTGGAAACGATGTTCTATCTTTCTCTGAGACATTTGTCTCTCTGTATATACAAATCTTCGTTCTAACCTAACAATACAGTTATGGTAAGTTCCCATTTTGGTTTGACAACAAGATCTGCTTTGTTACCCTTGTCTGATCTGATTTGCAATGGGATGAACTTAGAATACAGATCACCATTGTGACGTTCAAGCTTCATGCACCTTGTTCGTTTCTAACATTGAATCTGATTCTCGAACAACCCGTCACTCAATTGTCTTTAGAGGAACCGATATTATGTTCTCGGGTTCGGATTCCCGGGCAAACCGGATTCTAGGAATATATTGGTTCACCATTTGAGTCTACCGACTACGTTTTCGCGGAGATGTTCTTGCATTTTCAAGAAACCACGGTTCCGTGTAAAGTCCGAGAGAGAAGAGGGTTAGTATAATATTTACTCCATTGAATCTATATCTATGAACGCCCAAAGGCTGGAATATTTCGAATAATTGAGTGGATAACACTTTTAATCGAATTAGATCATATATTAAGAGTGTTTTTTAATCAAATTTAATTGGCATTTGGGATAAATTTAGGATTAATGTATAGATACCATTTGATAAAAAAAAAAATTGTTCATTGATAGACAGAATAAGAAATAAAGAAAGTAACAATGATGTAAATAGGCAGTGGTCAAATTACTTAGTTTCCCACCAATTCTGTAAGAAATATTTTTGTTTTGCGTGTATTGATACAACAAGTTCTGATTCATTTAGTACTGTTTCGATTAATTATTTGCTAATAACATGATTAAAAAAATATAGACTTATCATAAAATTCTGTAAAATCAATTTTTGAATCAGTTTTCTCTGTTCTAACGTAAAGTTGATGACTTTTTGTTTTGTTTTTTTGTTTTGGATTCGGGCTCTCAATCGAAAAAAAAACTAGAATCTTTTTGTTTTTATAACTGTGTATTTCCTCTATTATTTATTGATTCTGTAAAGTTTCTTCCGAAGGAATTCGATGATTGGTCGGTCCATATTCGATAATATTTGGTAAGATTTATAAAATATATAACAATTACAAAGTAATTTTATATGATTTTTTTTTAAAAGTTCAGGAATTTTTAGACGATTGTCCCTAAAAAAATTTAAACAAAAAATTCGAACCATAAAACTAAAGTAGAAAAATATTAAACCTAGTAATTGATCGGTTTACACGGATTTAATTAGACCTAGTTTAATTATGGGTTTGAGTTAAACCATGTGATTGGGGGTAATCACTAAGAAAACGTGGGATTGATTAATGTTGTTATCGTATTTATGAGATGGGTTGAATTACATAAGGGGAAACGATTGTTTGCAAACTTTATATATTTTATTTCATCTTTACCCGTGCCTAATAAAAAAATCAATTGTCTTTAGTAAAACAAAAAAAAAATAATTGTAATTTCACTTTATTTTATTTTTTAATATATATTTTTATTTATTTAATTTACATTCTTATAATTATGTTTTTTTAAAGAAATATAATACGAATAAATATAAACCTATAAAATTATATATATTTCCATTTTATCAAAAATTTCTCTACCATTTTTTTTATTTATTTCATAAAGAAAATCTAACTAAAATCAATGATAACAATATTATAGTTTCGAAGTATTATTTTTATTTTAAATAAATCTTCATAATTTTTAATTTTTTATATTGCTAATTTGGTTTTTTAGTATTGAGGTTTTAAATTTTATAACTTCATTTTTTTAGAATTTAATATTTTAATTTTAATTAAAATGATTAGTTTTATCTAAGTTTTATGGAAAAAGTCTTTTAAACATTTTATTTAGATCTATATTGATAAATTTAAAAATATACATGATTTTTTAATTTGAAAATTCTAAGAGATAAAACATTGATATATAGACTTTTGAATCTATACACATTATTGAATAATGTTATTTTACGATTCACTTCGTAAATATAATATTTATACAACTAGTATTTTTTAGGTGATTGGTTTATTTGTTATATTAAAAAAGACTTACAATAGATTACAATAATAAAGACTATAACAAATGGTATTAATATAAATAAATTTAAAATATAATTAATGATGATAATATAGTTCAATGGATAATAGGAAAATGTAAGAAAATGTGAAATAAAAAAGAGAATCACCAAAATATCGTGAAGACCTTCGGACAACAAACTTGAACTGCAAATTAAGTGGGTCCCCATATTGCCGTTGCTGACATCCTTCCTCGTTCCTTCTTTTCACGTCTATCGAGCAACCCACTCCGTCTCCGTTGTTTCGGTCAATGGAATCAATTTTCCCAGGAAAATTTCTTAATTTTCTCACCTTCCTCTTGATTTACCAACCTTTCTGAACTCGAATCGGATCTCGATTCCTCCCTGTATCCGGCGACTCAAATAGATCCCCGAAAGAAGAATCTCTCCGCTTTCTCCATCGATCGATCATCTCATCGTGGGTATCGAAATTTTACAAGCTGAGCTGTGAATTTGGGGACGGATGTCGAATTTTCAGAGTAATTTCAATCAGAAGATAGATTATGTGTTCAAGGTGGTGTTGATCGGGGACTCTGCGGTGGGGAAGTCTCAGCTCTTGGCTAGGTTTTCGAGGAACGAGTTCAGTATCGAATCGAAGGCTACGATCGGCGTCGAGTTTCAGACAAGGACTCTGACAATCGATAGTAAGACCGTCAAAGCTCAGATTTGGGACACAGCTGGTCAAGAACGGTATGTTTTTGTTTTCCAGCAGTTTTGAATATGTCTGGTTGGATTTAGATTCTGGGTATTTGAGTTCTGAGTTTTTGGGGATTCCTTATTTTAGTTTTGCGAAAGAACTGAAGGTTGTGTGTAGTTCTCAGTGACAGGTTATGGCGACTTCTATGTTAGAATGTAACATTTCTCGTATTAAAGCTACTTGATTACCTTAGAGCTGTTTGTGTAAGAAATTCTGCTGTCTAGATCTGTCGAGAAACTGACTGGTAAACGTTGGCCGAATGCAAGGGCTCGTCTAAAATTTTTTCAAAAATGATGACACTAATCCTGCCTATCAAAATTTTCACGGCATCCTTTTCTCAAAAAGCCCTTTGGATATGGAGACGTATGGGCAAAGGTAGGGCCGAGAAGGTTTCGGCCGAGTGACCTATAACCATAGATAGGTCCGGTTAGGAGCTTAGGATGACGTGCTCTAGGAGTCGTGT